TAGAGGCATTTCTTTATTCAGACAGCTGCTGGCTGCTGAGGCTGCCAAGCCCAAGGTTGACAAGTAAAAAGGCACAGTCCCGATGTTACCAAACCACATGGCAGGCCATTAATTTAAGTCCAGTGTAAGTCCCGAGGTTGGCAGAGCATGGCAGGCTGCTGAACAACGACATGGCTACATGCAGGGTCCAAGTGTTCCATAAGTTAAAGACTGTCCCTAAAGTTGCTTCTTATATACGGGAAACAGACCACATACCCAAAGCATCTACTCAGCTGCTTGTGTTAGATCTCACCATGGAGCTGATTGCCAGGCTCATCATGGGGAGTAACTACCACCAGCTGCCCAACCACTCAACCAGGCCCAGCCAAGTTGACTCACAAACATAATAACCACAGTTACATTCCCCATCGTGTGTCAGCACTCTCCCCATTTCCACTCTGGATTCCCCATTTCCTTTCATTGCAATTTTCTACCTTTTCCTGCCTTCTCATCTTTGCTTTTGGGCAAATGGTGTCCTTTTAATCTCGTATAGTTGATTATTTTAAGGAACACATTGGGCATTATTGTTTATTTTATGGGTCTGTGGCATTTGACTGCTAACTAGAAGGCTGGCGGTTCAAACCTACCAGCCACTCCTTGGAAGGAAGATTGGGCAATCTACTTCTGTAGAGATACCTCCTTGGAAACCCAAGGAGGGGTTGCTATGAGGCTTCCACTCGAGAGCAGTGAGTTTGGTTTCTGTTGAATCTATTATTTAAGGGGCTCTGGTTGGCATAGTGGGTAAGGCATTTAAGGCACCAGCTGCTCTGTGGGAGGAAGATGAGGCAATCTACTTTTGTAAAAATTTACAGCCTTGGAAACCCAGTGGCTATGAGTCAGAATAGACTTAACGGCAGTGGGGTTTTTGGTTTTATCTATTATTTGGCTGAAATGTGGTCTCAAGGAATGGCTTCAGTTCCAGGTCAGAAGGGTGTCTTAGGGCCATAGGCTCGAGGGTTCCTCCACTGTCTGTCAGACCAGACCACTGTCTGTCAGGTCTTTTCAGTGATCTGCTCTGTCCAGGACCCTTGGCGATCCCATCAGAGTGGTTAGTAATGGTAGCTGGGCATCATCTAGTCCTTCTGGTCTCAGGGTGGTGTAGGCTGTGGTTCATTAGTCCTTTGGACTAACTGCTCCCTTGAGTCTGGTTTTCTTCCCTTTCCTTTGCTCCTGCTGGGAAGAGACCAATAGCTGTATCTTAGATGGCTGCTCTCAAGCTTTTAAGACCCGAGACACTACTCACTTAAGTAGGATGCGGAACACTGTCTTTTTGAACTAAGTTGTGCCAGTTTACATAGATGCCCTCTAGTCTATAGTCCTTTGCCTTCAAGCCCTGTGAGGTTAAGTCTGAGAAGGACTGTGTCCCTTGGGTGCTCTATTGTCTTATTAATATGTATGCAGCACATACAATTTAAAAAAACCCACTTCCATTGAGTCAATTCTTACTCATAGCAACCCTATTGGACAGTGTAGAACTGCCCGATAGCGTTTCCAAGTCTATAAATCGTTATGGAAGCAGACTGCCTTATCTTGCTCCTGTGGAGTGGCTGCTGGGATGAAACCACTGATCTTTTGGTTAGGAGCTGAATGCTTTGACCACTGCACCACCAGAACTCCTACTTACAATTGTGTATGTAGAAATATCCACAATCAAACCTGTATCTGCAGATGAGTGTGCTCTCTTAAGCCCTTTCACCTTCTTCAATATACCTATCTACTTGTTGTTATGTGCTGTCGAGTCGTCTCTGACTTCTAGCAACTCTATGTACAATAGAACGAAACACTGCCCAGTGCTGTGCCAGCCCCATGATCCCTACTATAGCTGAGCCCATCGCTGCAGCCACCATGTCAATCCATCTTGTTGAGGGCCTTCCCCTCTTTCACTGACCATCCACTGTACCAAGCATGACATACTTCTGCAGAGAATGGTCCCTTCTGACAACATGACCACAGTAGGTGAGATGAAATCTGGCCATTCTCACTTCCAAGGAGCATTCTGGCTGCATTTCTTCCAGGACAGTTAGTTCTTTTAGCAGTCCATTCTACTTTGAGCATTCTTCACCAGTACCACAACTTAAAAGCATCAACTCTTCTTTGGTCTTTCTTTTTCATTGTCCAGCTCTCACATGCATATGAGACAATTGAAAATACCATAGCTTGGGTTAAGCGCATCTTAAGTCTGCAAGAAGGTATCTTTGCTTTTCAGCAAATGATAGAGCATTTTGCAACAGATTTGCCCAATGCAATGTCTTTTGATATCATGACTGCTGCTTCCATTGGCGTTGATTGTAGAACCAAGTAATATGAAGTGGTTGACAACTTCAATCTTTTCTCCATCTATTGTGATGCTGCTTATTGATCTAGTTGTGAGGATTTCTGTTTTCTTTATATTGAGGTGCAATCAATACTGCAGACTGCAGACTGCGGTCATTAATCTTCACCAGTAAGTGCTCCAAGTCATCCTCACTTTCAGCCAAGCAAAGTTGTGTCTTCTGCGTATTGCAGGTTGTTAAGGAGCCTTCCTCCAATCCTGATGCCATGGTCTTCTTCATATAGTCCAGATTCTCATATTATTTGCTCAGCATACACATTGAATAAGTATGGTGAAAGGATACAACCTTGACGCATTCCCTTCCTGATTTTAAACCATGCAGAATCCCCTTGTTCTGTTCGAATGACAGCCTTCTGGTCTATTAAAGATTCCTTATGAGTACAATCAAGTGTTCTGGTACTCCCGCTCTTCTCAGTGTTATCTAATTTATGGATAATTTATGATCCACACAGTTGAATACCTTTGCATAGTCAATAAAACACAAGTAAACATCTTTCTGGTATTCTTTGCTTTGAGCCAAGATCCATCTGACATCAGCTGTGATATCCCTTGCCCCACATTCCCTTCTGAATCCAGCTTACATTTCTGGAAATTCTCTGTCAATATACTGCTGCAACCATTTTTGAATTGTCTTCAGTAAGATTTTACTTGCGTGTGGTATCAATGATATGTTCAGTAATTTCCACATTCTGTGGGATCACCTTTCTTTGGAATGGGTACAGATATGGATCTCTTCCAGTTAGTTGGCCAGGTAGCTGTCTTCCAAATCTCTTGGCATAACCAAGGGAGTACCTCCAGTGGGGCATCTGTTTGTTGAAACATCTCAATGGGTATTCTGTCATAGCCAAAATATTTTTTCCTAGTCTGTAGATAAGGAGCTCTGGTGGTGTAGTGGTTAAGGCATTTTGCTGCTAACCAAATGAAGGTGGTTTGAAGTTGGTGGTTTGAACCCACCACCCACTCTGTGGAAGATGAGGCAATCTGCTTCCGTAAAGATATATAGCCTTGGAAACTCAATGGGGGTTGCTATGAGTTGGAATTGACTCGATGGCAGTGAGTTTCGTTTTTTGTTTGAGTCTGTAAGTTCTATTTTTACTCTTTTGGAGAAGTCTTTTGATGAGAATAAGTATTTAATTTTTAGGAGGTCTTCATTTATCTAGTTCATCTTCTGCTGTTTGTGCATTTTTAGTTATGATTGCTATTCTATTTTTGCCATATATTAGGGCCCCTAGCATTGTCCCTTATTTTTCTTCCATGATCTTTATATTTTAGGTTTTATATTTAGGCCTTTGATCCATTTTGAGTTGGTTTTTGTGTATGGTGTGAGGTATGGGTCTTATTTCATATTTTTTCAGTTAGACATTCAGTTTTGCCAGCACCATTTGTTAAAGAGACTATTCCCTATTACATGTACTTTGGCCCTTTGTCAAAGATCAGCTGTCCGTAGGTGAATGGATTTGTGTCTGGATTCTGTTCAGTTGGTCTGTGTGTCTGTCATTGTACCAGTACCAGACTGTTTTGACTACTATGGCTGTATAGTAGGTTTCTGAGACCAGAGTGTGAGGTCTCTTATTTTGTTCTTCTTCAGTAATGCTTTACTTATCCAGGGCCTCTTTCCTTTCTATATGAAGTTGGTGATTAGTTTTTCCATCTCATTAAAAAATGATGATGGAATTTGGATTGCAATTCTATTATATCTATATATTGCTTTGGGTAGTACTGACATTTCCACAATGTTAAGTCTTCTTATCCATGAGCATGGTATGGTTTTCCATTTATGTATGTCTCTTTTGGTTTCTTGTAGAAGTGTTTTGTAGTTTTTCTTTTTTTAATAGATCTTTAACATTCTTGGTGAGATTTATTCCTAAGTACTTTATCTTTTGGGGGCTATTGTAAATGATATTGTTTTCCTGATTTCCTTTTCGAAGTTCTCTTTGTTGATGTCGAAGAATCTAATTTTTGTATGTTGATTTTGTATCTTGCTACTTTATGGAATCCTTCTATTAGTTCCAGTAGCCTTTTTTGTGGAATCTTTGGGATTTTCTATGTATAGGATCATATCATCTATGAATAGGGATAATTTTACTTCTTCCTTACCAATATGAATGCCCTTTATTTCCTTTTCTTGCTTTACTGCTCTACCTAGGACTTCTAGTACAATGTTGAATAAGAGTAGTGATAAGGGGCATCCTTGCCTGGTTCCCATTCTGAAGGGGAAAGCTTTCAGTCTCTCTCTGTTGAGAATGTTGGCTGTTGGTTTTGTATAAATGCCCTTTATTATGTTGAGGAATTTCCCTTCTATTCCTGTTTTGTTGAGAGTTTTATCAAATACCTTTTGTGCACTGATTGGGATGATCATGTGACTTTTATTTATATGGTAGATTATTTATTTATAATAAATAATGGTTGATTGATTTTTTAATGTGTGCACCCAACCACTAGAGTGCCATACAGGGGAGGGTATGCCACCAGTCTTCAGGCCCCCAGTGCAGGTAGATGGAGGGAACAGGATAAGCCGCTGGTCTGTGAGCCCCGGTGTGGGTGGCTGGGCATAGGAGTGGGGCACCTCCAATCTACAGGCCCCTGGTGTGTTGGCTGGATGTAGGCATGACTACTGCCATTCCATAGGCCCCTAATGCCAGTAGCTGGGCAGAGGTGGGAGTTGCTGATACATGGGCCCTCAGCTCAGATGGTGGGTGCCACTGAACCATGATCACATGCAGGGGGATGGATGTGGGGGGACGAGTAGGCACTGCAGTGCATGGGCCTCTGGCACAGGGGGCTGGGGAAGGGTGTGGTGGGTGAGGTGAGTGTACTTACGCACTTTTGCAGAGGGGTAGCACTCCATCTTGGCTCTAGATGGAGGTGCAGTCTTTCTCCTATGTGGCTGCACCAGGTGATGGGGCTTTGGCTGAGAATGCTGCTTGTATTGTCTCAGTATGGCCATTCTGTGTAGCTTTGGCTTGTAGAGTGCTGGTGATCCATAATTCTCCATGTCTGTTGTTTTTATAGTTTCTCCTTCCACTTGGCACTCGGTCTGATTCTTCAGCCTTGCCTTTGATGCTCCAAAGTTGTCCCCTATATCCAGTTTACCTTTTTTCTGGGGTCTTTGTTCTAAGAGGGATGTAGTGAGGTGTCTAACTATGCCACCATCTTGGACATGTCCAAAAAAGTCATGTCTTTAATGTCTTTCCTCTCAGTTTTTGTGCTTAACTGGCCTTTAAATTTCCATCCAAGAAATAGCTGAGGTTTACACAGTGCTCTAGGGCTCACATCACACTTTGTTGTTGTTGTTATGTGCCATCGAGTCAGACCCAACTCATAGCGACCCCTTCTTGGGTTTCCGAGGCGGTATCACCACAGAAGTAGATTGCCCAACCTTCCTTCCAAGGAGTGGCTGGTGGGTTTGAACCGCCAGCCTTCTGGTTAGCAGTCAAGTGCCTTAGGCACGACAGTCAAGAAAACCCTGTGGAGCAGTTCTACTCTGTAGCACATAAGGTCACCATGGTTTGGAATTGACTTTCTAGCAATGGGTTTGGTT